TTTCACTATACTAAACATGCATCTAGGTTTATTATAAATAAAGCCCCAACTTTTGTAAAATAACACAAAAGGCCCAAACTTTCACAAAATTACCAAACCAACCCCAACATCTCAAATTACTAAAATTTAAAGACAAAATCCATAGAGAGGAGTAGGATATCCCTACCTCAAATAATGAGACCCAACGAAGGAGGTGAAGAAACGGAAATGCTCCAAATCCCAAAATTTTCAGATTAAAAGATAGTCCTCGACGATCAACACAACTTTTGTAAAGGCCCAAGGTGAGAAAATAACTCCTACTAGATCAATCCTAAGAGAGAAGTTCGGTTTTAGAGTGAGGTGCTCTCCAATGGAGGTTTTGAAAAAGTAAGAGAGAGAAAGGAAATCAAAAAGTGATCAAAAAGGTGGTTTCACGAACTGATATAAAAGCAGGTCCGCTCGAGCGTAAAACACCCCGCTCGAGCGTACAGGCACAGGTTCATGCTCGAGCGTCCAAAGATCCGCTCGAGCGCCGGACGCACTCTCCCAGAATTTTCTGCAGACGACCGAAATGCTGAGAGAAGGAAATTCACGCTCGAGCGTCCAAACTGCCGCTCGAGCTGAAAGGCAGCAACAAAAGCCCGCTCGAGCGTAAAACCGCCGCTCGAGCGGAGAGACCAAAACCTGGGCAAAATTTCAAAGCTGTAAAACACAACCAACTAATTCCCAACTTGCCTAACACAACCCAAAACTCTAAAACAAAGAGTAAGGGATAGAAATGAGGATAAGACAACAACGAATCTACGGAACTGAGTCCAGATTATGGTTATACAACAATAGGGAATACCGGGATCGCTATATTCACCATTTGCAGCCTCATTGTAGGTAGTGAACATCTTCTTGTCTGCACAAATATGACGAGTTGCCCTAGTGTCAACCCACAATTCCTTGGGATTTCCAAGCAAATTAGCCTCAGACACCACAACAGAGAGGTTGATGTCATTCACTCCGTCAGAAATATAATCCAATTCTATCACATTGGCCTGATTGGTGGTCTTCTTGCTAGTACTTCCGCGATCCTTCTTAGGGCGGCGGCAATCAGAAGCTTGATGTCCAGTCTTGCCACAGTTATAGCATTTTCCTTTGAACTTCTTATTGCCATTGTTGTCACCTTATTTAAGACCATCTCCAGTAAACTTCCTCTTTTTATTATATGGTTTGTGAACTTGTTCAACCACATTAGCCTTGGACTCAATAAGATTTTTCCCATTCCTCTTTTCAGCCTTTCGGTTATCTTCCTCAATTCTTAATCTTACAATCAATTCATCCATGGTCATCTCCTTGTGTTTATGTTTTAAATAATTTTTGAAATCTTTCCAAACCGGTGGTAACTTTTCCACTTGAGCAGTGACTTGAAAAGACTCGCTAAGAGACATACCTTCTAAATGAATATCATGCAAAATTATTTGAAAGTTTTGAACTTGAGAAATTACTGTTTGGGAGTCTAACATAACAAAGTCCAGAAATTTACCGACAACAAATTTCTTCGTGCCGACATCCTCTGTCTTGTATTTCTTCTCCAAAAAATTCCACAATTTTTTTGCTGACTTCAGAGGGCTGTAAACATTATACAGCATGTTGTCAAGGCCATTGAGGATGTAGTTTCTGTATAGGAAATCTGAATCCGAGCATCTACAATGGCAACAACTTGCCGATCACTTTCACCCTCTTTAAGTGCTGGAGCCTCTTCATGGAGAAATCGGGCCAAATTTAGAGTTGTAAGATAGAACAACATCTTCTGCTACCATCTCTTAAATTCAGTACCATTAAATTTTTTCGATTTTTCTCCATGATTTATTGGTACTTGAACATTGTTTTGGATAGGGACCGGTGTTAGTGTAACATTTGGAGTACTACTTCCAGTTGCAATTTCAGTTGCAGTAGCCATAATATCTGATTGCAAAAATCAGAAAAATAAACCACAAATTATTTTCTTGGTACTAAAACCAAAAAATAAATTATAACACAAAATAATTTTGTTTTCCTTGTTACTAAAACCAGAAAAATAAAATACCACAATAATTTTCTATAACACTAAATAATATTTTGCAATTGTTAATGACACCAGTATATTACTACTAGTTGTCAAAGAAAATAAACAGTACATTACTACTATATGTCAAATAGTTTATAAATACTATTTGTATTTTATAACCAGCATATCACTTTGTGAAACACAGAAAATTAAATACAATAAAGCTACAAAAAATTAATATGTCTTAAGATTGTTGGACAATCTTTACTGTATTTAAATAAATTAAATTCTGTTGTGTACTTAACAACAACTAGGATATAAAAGAAACAAAGGAAATGTGAGAATTTGTTTGATTACAAAAATCAAACTAGAAATAAAAAAAAAAATAAAAACAGATTTTATTTTGTTACAAAAACAAAATTAAAATCTGATTTAAATAAATAATAATAACACCGAAAAATAAATCAAATAAATTACTTGATTAATTCTTGAATAATAATTTGATCAAGTCCAGTGTTCGATACTGTGTCGTTAAGACAGATTCGTCCTCTCCACGGTGCTTTCAGAATACGGACATCTATCTCCCAGGATAAAATGATCTAACAACGAATAAATGCAACACTATAATTTATTCGTACGACGAACACACTAAGTGTATATACTCTTTCTCACAGAAAAATAATGCAACAATATGTAAGAATAATAGCAGAATTATTATGGACGAAAACTGTTAATGAAACATCAAATGAGGGTTGTCTATTTATAGGAGAATTTATGGCTGTTGGGTTTGAATTAAACAGGTACAAAACCTGTTTGAACAGGTATGATACCTGTTCAGTTTGAATAAACAGATACAAATCTGTTGGATTCAAATTTGAACAGATAAAAAACTATACGGACTTGTTTGGGTGTAGGAAAAAATCGGAACAGTTTAATTCCAGAATTAATTTCAATTCTGGACAGTTGGACATATTTTATTTCAAAAAGTAAAATTAAATCCAAATGTTTTTGGCCCAAAAAGATTGGTATTGGGCCGGACAAGCCCAACCCAATCTCACACCACGCACCCGCGCCCAAGCCCATCCCCAGCCCCGCCAGCCAGATTGGATGGACAGCGGCGCGTGCGTGTGTGGTGATTTTTAGGTCCAATGGGTTTAGCCCATAACCTCCCTCTCTACAAAACTTGGGTACCCCTTGGGACACACCGCAACTTCCAATCCCATGCCTTATAAATCCACTCAAAACTTCCTACCAAATCAATTAACCTTTAAGGATTTTCCACAAAAACTCCATTTTCATGGAGTACACTTTGACTTCAATTTCCCATTCACTCGATAATGGTTTTGAGCAACCAAATATACCACGTGAATCACAATGCGGCATAGAACGCATTACTACTTTGACCTGCGAAAAATGACGCACGGGTCCCACCTAAATAATAGACCAAAGTTAGGAAAAAAATCTGTTATATACCCAGATTTTTCCAAACCATTTCCAACAAACATGTCTTAGTAGTGAGTTTTATTTATTGTTTTTTTCTAACCAATGATCCCCAATCATCCCAAAGGGTCAGGGGTAGTCCTAGAGGACATCCTGCCGCATAAGGGTCAGGGGTAGTTCAAGAGAACGCCCTGCCGTAAATATTGTCAAGTCTCAGGGACCCCCCTAGATCGTGCCACCTCGACCCGGGTATAGGCTAGTTTAACCGGAGAGTGAATTTATCTCCACTCACCGTCTTCAGGATCGAGTCCTTTGTTCGAACTCCATTATGCCCATGGTTCTGGTGCATAGATCCCGGAAAGCTCCGAGTCCGCAAGTGTTCTGGGACTCATTAACGGAGCAACTTCTAGATTGCGTCTGAATCTGTTCGAAGCCAAGTGCTTCGGATCTCTAGATTCGTGGATCTGAATCCTTTTGGGTCCGAATGCCTCGAATCTCTAGGCTTGCTCAATACCCTTTCGAGTCTGGGTCCGAGTAAGTCTTTAAGTTCGTGGATCCGAACCCTTTCGAGGTTTAGAGCGATTCGACCTGTTTGATGGCGATAAATCCGGGCCCACCAATCTGGGACTTGCGATAAATTCAGGCCCACCAACCTTGGACTATTGGGCCTAATTAATTTAGTGGGCTCAAATTAGCTCCTCTTACATTTGCCCCTTGCGTGTATGAGAAATTTTAGTTTTCTCGGACATGCATAGTTTCACCTTGTCAGCCATGCATTGCATTACGTATTCAAGAATATTTGGTCTTTGACAGAGTTTATGAATAAGGCTGAGGACTCACTGTAAATTATGGGTAATAGTTGACAACTAATAAAGATAAGAATCTTTTTTTTCTTTATGCCATGTTTGGCTCATACACACTTCATGCTTTTGATTTACTCTCACAAAGAAAAATCAAAATTTGAATATTTAATAATTCACTCACCAAGAATGCTCAAGAATTAAAATTTTCTCTCTAAGAAATAGTCAAACTCTTTTTTTTTTTTTTACCACTGAATTTTTTTAACATCTAAAAACATATATACTTTTTTTTTTACTCCAAGTAAAATAAAGCACCCCCCACCATTTTTTTAAGCATCAATTTGGTCTTATTTTTTCCTCAACAGCTTGTAAGAATTTCAAATTCAAAGATGCTTCAGAATATCCAAAGGCCCATTATCTATGAGGGTGTTTGGGAAGAAAAAAAATAGCCTAGTTTAGGCTAAAAGTTACAAAAAGACAAAATAGGCTAAAATAATTAATAAGACAAAATATCACATCAAACCCATAATCATTTTACTTTTTCTCTCACAAACATCACATCCAATCACAAAAAAAATCCAGTCATCTTTCCAAATATAAAAATTTTAACCTACTAAAATAACTAAAAACTAAAATAACCTACTAAAATAACTGCTTCCCAAACGAGGCGAATATATATAGCGTTAGCCTGAGCACATTTGAGGCCATCAGAATCAAACTTTGCCCTTTTCTTTTATATCCTTTTTAGGATAAAGACAAAACCCTAATTGCTGCCTTATCTTCTTACCCACAAATATTTCAGCTCTCTCTCTCTACAGAGGCCAACCCAGGTTACTTTTTTTTTCTTCAACAAACTAGAGGCTAATAACGTGTGCACACTGACTGTTATCGTAGAGCCAAGCAATGCCACCGACCTGTCCCAGCTTCGACTGCCACAAACGCCGCGACCTAATCACCGACCTGTCCCAGCGCCGCGACCCAAGCTACCGCTTACCATCGGTGCTTCACTTCGGTTCAACGACGCAGCTTCTTAGAGATCCAAACACTGCGGAGCAAGGTTCCGCCGACCAGCACCAATACCGATTTCTCTTGTGACGTCACTGCTGCTTCCGGCTTTTGAGAGCCACTGATGGCAACGTGACTGCTCCTCTGTGACGTCACTGTGACGTTGACTCCTCTACCTCACCATCGGTGTTTCACCATTGTCGGCTTATCTCCGCTGCAATCTTTGCTGCCGGCGTTGGCTATCCAGCGCCACCCACATGCGTTGCTACTTCCGGCCTTAACTGCCCAGCACCGACCACATACGTCGCCCATTCAACGTGGCATGCGTGGTCTCGCCAAGCACCGTTCAGTTTGTTGTTGGTGTTCCTTCTTAGCTTAACAATATTTATCGGAGCTCCGAACTCACAAATTTTGGCCCTGCTTTCATACCCATTGAAACCCATCGCCATTCGTTCCGGCTATGATTAATCAACGCCAACCACACCGCCTACTCAACGCGGTGTTGGTTTGCCTAGCTGCCCACTGTTTCGTGCACCATTCTCGGCCTATAACGCCTTTGGTCTTCATCCTCTTCATTACTTCTGTAAGTCTGTGGGTAAATGCTTAAAACCCTCTTTTCTCTTGTATTATTTTATCTTTCTTTATGCTTTGAGCTTTTGATTTGTTGATCATGACATTTGTGACTTTGGAGCTGGAACTGGAATGCTTAATTTGTATAAAATCCAATGCTTGTGAAATCAAAATTTGGAACCCTCTTGCTAAGAGGGAGAGTAATATTGATGTTGTTGTAGAGCTCATAATCACACTGTCACATTTTGTCTAATGCTGTGAGGATTTCTAATTCTGATGAATCTCATACTCTGATGAACTCTGAATTTGTGAACTTCGGTGGAAATTTTATTTGGATCTTGAATCCTGTAATTTTTTTTGAAATAACTAGTACTCCTTGTTGAATCTTGAACCTGTGAACTTGACGTTACACACTTTGTAGAGCAAAAATCGAAGTTGATAATCTTATACAAATTGAATCACTGATGCTGAATGTTGTTGATGAAACCCGAGGACATGAGGCCCTCATATTGTATATAAATCTTATCGTCGCATGATTGATTGTCGTTTTATTGATCTTGTGGATGCTTGGGAAATACATAGCTGATGCCAAAATTTTGTGTGACCGTTGTAGCTTTACGTCGGCTTGAGAGGAACCGGCCTGGAGAGACAAAACCTTGATTGTTGCATTTTCATGAACTCGCTCAGAGGAATACAATTGTTGCATCTTAAGTAGATCATTACTATTGTTGATGTCGCCTCTATTTCTGTAATGTTTGAATCATAATCTGAACTCGATATTGTTTGTCTCGTTTGTCACCTTTACTATTTCAGGCAAATGAATTCTTGTAAGAAAAACTCCATGACCTCAGTGCCCTCAAAACCCGTACTAATGAGAGCAAGGGCTATTCCTCGGAAGTCCGAACGAAAGCAAGACTGTCCCTCAGGAGTCCGAAAGTAGCACACACCCTACTTTAGCAAGAAAGATCCCTTTGGAAGGCAACCGAATCTACCACGCTTGCACCAACAAAAGTAAAGATTGTCTCTCTAAAGTCCGAGCGGAAGCAAGGTTGTCCCTCAGAAGTCCGAGATTGTCCCTCAAGAGTCCGAATGGTAGCAAACACTCTACTTCAGTAAGAAAGATCCCTTTGGAAGGCAACCGAGTCTACCAAGCTTGCACCAACAGAAGTAAAGATGATTTCTCGGAAGTCCGAGTGGAAGCAAGGCTGTCCCTCAGAAGTCCGAGCAAAAGTAAGGTTGTCCCTTGGAAATCTAAGTGGATGCACACTTCTACTCCTGCAACTAATGGAAGCAAAGGCCACGACCTCGGGGCCCTCAGAACCCACACTAAAGAGAGTAAGGGCTACCCCTCAAAAGTCCGAACGGAAGGAAGGTTGTTCCTCAGAAGTCCGAGTGGATGAACACTTCTACTTCGGCAGCTAATGGAAGCAAAGGCTATCCTTCGGGAGTTCGAGTAGGAGTCCACTCTACTTTGAAAAGAAAGATCCTTGGAGCTCGTATTGATGAAAGCAAGGGCTGTTCTTCGAACCCACACTAATGAGAGCAAGAGTTTTCCCTCGGAAGTCCAAACGGAAGCAAGGCTGTCCCTCAGGAGTTTGAATAGTAGCACACACCCTGCTTTGGCAAGAAGATCCCGTCTGATAGGCCACCTCAAGGGCTGTTCCTCGAATGTCTGAGTAGGAGAACACACTCTACTTCAGCAAGAAAGATCCTTGACACTCTTTGAAAGTCTGAGTGGAAGAACACACTCTACTTCAGCAAGAAAGATCCTTGAGGCTCGCACTGATGGAAACGAGGTCTGTTCTTCGAAAGTTTGAGTGGGAGCACACACTCTACTTTAACAAGAAAGATCCGTAAAGCTCGCACTGATGGAAGCAAGATTTGCTCTTCGAAAGTCTGAGTGGGAGCACACACTCTACTTCAACAAGAGAGATCCTCGAAGCTCGTACTGATGAAAATGAGGTTTGTTCCTTGGAAGTCCAAATGGAAGCACGGGCTATCCTCGGAAGTCCGAATGGGAACACACACTATTTCGGCAACTCATGAAAGCAAAGGTTGTCCCTTTCTGAGTGGGAGTACACTTCTACTGCGTCAAGAAAAGTCCCCTCAGGTTGGTAACCAAGTCTACTATTCCTGTTTCTTCTTCAAGGGGCAACAAAAATTGAAAACTGATTCAAGCAACATAACACAATGAAGATATACAATGTAGAGAAAATAACTTCTAATGGAGATACATAATATGGAGGAAATAACTTTCTTCATAACATAAGAAAGAAAGATAGAAAATTCTTGGACAATGCAGTAAATACAAATTGTAAATGCCATAGATAGACTTCTTCTACGGAATGTTGACATTTTCCCCTAGAGTCGCAAGGTCCTTCGGAAAACTTTCACCAACTGCTTAGGTTGTGGCCGTCATACGCCATCATAGCCACGTCTTCTAAGATATCTTGGGGCTCTTGTTCTTTGAACTCTAGCTCATCTGCTTCGACTTTCTTTCTAAAAATCTTCTTAAGCGTCCGATACTTTTCTGTAGGATGTCCTAGTGATCGATAGAAAACACAATAATTAGGACCCTCGCGATCTCTCTTCGGCAAAAACTCTTCAATATAAGGAAACTTCAATTCCCGTCTGCTACCCATTCTTTAACTGAGGCCTTCACCTCCTCAACACTACACGGAAAAGGAGTGTCATCTTTGTAGTATTTTCTCTTCTGACCTTTGAATTCCTCCCCCTGCGACTTTCGGGTAGAAGACGCGGAAGCCGCAGTGGCAAAAGGTCCTCGGGATGACTTGAAGTTGGTTTTATAACTAGTCTCGAACCCAATCTCCTGAGATTATGGTATGTTGATATTCAGATGCTTCAATTAATGCCAAGAAGGTAGGTAGCTTGTGATTAACACGAAGCATCTTGTATCCATTCAATGCCCCTTCAACACAGATTTGGACCAGGTAGCTTTCCTCCATAGCCTCATGACAGTCTACGGCTTTGCCTTGAAACCTCTTCACATATTCGAGAATGTCTTCACCTTCCCACTGTTTTTCCTTACATAAGGTAAGTGCAGTTACCTTCTCAGCAGCTTGAAAGAATTTGGCGTGGAATTTGTTGACCATCTCCTCCCAACTTCGAACAGAGTTTGGGGTCAACTTAACGTACCAACTATATGCTCGGTCGGTGAGGTACTTGGAGAATTCTCTCAATCGGAGGACATGATTTGTACCATGAATCCCCAAAGTCTCAATGAACCAAACAACATGTTCTCTAGAATTTCCTTGCTTGCTATTGAATTTGATGAACTTCGGCACCGTGTACCCCTTTGGGTATGGATAACTCAACATCTTGATAGGGTATGGAGGCTTGACATCCGGATCAGGCAAAGAAGGTAAAGTCCTCTTGCCCGTTTGAGATCAAACATGGCTTGCACATCAGTGAGAGTGAGAAATTGTTGAAGGAGAGAACTTGATGGTGGTATTCCCAGAACCTGACTTGTAGACCCGAAGACTGAGCTTGGAGCAACTTGGCCATTTGGATGTTGAGAATTCACCATCGGTGAAGACACATGATGATATTGGCCATCGCCACCTATGGACACGCCATTTGGTGATAGGATGTTGTATTGGGTCCCATAAATTCCATTGTACGCCACGGCTATATCGGGTTGGGCTTGCAAACTCGGCATCGGAGCCAAAGGAGACCCATTCGGTACATGAGTAGAATTTACAATCGGTGGAACAAAATTAGGCATGGATGGAACACCATTTTGTAGAGGAATTTCTATAGGCCTTCCTTGAACTTCCACAACCACTGGAATACCATTCGTCGCACCGGAAACTCCTCTAACCACCACTGGGCCATGGCTTAATCCTCCAGGTGCGTGATTTTGTGCTCCATGGGCCGTAGGTTGGCCATGACCTGTTCCTCCAAGCACTTGATTTTGCACACCATTTTGTACAACTTCAGGGAGAATTTAGGGTGGATCTTGATGGTTTTGGCCATTCCCAACATCACCATGAAGTTGTTGATGCTTACCGGCGCCGATTTGACCTCCATTTGTTGCTGGTGATGCGAAATGCGAACCCATCACCAACATTGCGTGGGTGAGATTTTGAAGGGTCGTGAGAATCTCCTGTTGAGTGTGTTAGAGTCCTTGAATGGCTTCAAGTATGAAAGGTGAGTCTTGAACTTGAGTCCTTTCATCACCACCATTGGAAGAGCTTTGTTGATGAATTTCTTCTTCTCTTGCCATCTTCACCGGAGTTGTGTAGATTCCGGATCTTGTTGAGACTATTAACCAATCCCAGTGAAGTCGCCAAATGTATGAAGGGGTTCAAGAACGTCATTGAAAAATTTGAAGATCTTCGAAGATCTTTGAAGATCTTCGAAGATCCTTGAAGGAAAATTCGAATTCTCTAGAAGATGATGAGAGGCTTAGATTCTTCAATAGTCTCAACTAAGAACACAAAAGCAAAGAGATGATGGAGACGAGAGATTGGGTGAAGAAGAAGGCAAAGTAGCTAGAGAGAGAATAATGGCAAGGCTCACCCATGGATCTCCTACTTTTACTCTTAAGGTTGATAATGGAGAAGGGAAATTAGTTCTTTCCCAAGAGTTTTCTCTCCAAAATCCATCCCCTGTAAAGCTATGGATGGGTGCTATTTATAGGCAACTCATGATGTAGGATGGAGCCCATGTGCAAGGCACATGGGGAATATTCTCTCTGACAACCTTGTCTGAGGAGGTGACCTCTCCGAGGATGAGGAAAACCCCGAAGAGGAGATCAACCTCTCGGCGAACCCTTCTTCTTAGCCACACCTAACCAATGATCCCCAATCATCCCAAAGGATCAGGGGTAGTCCCAGAGGACGTCCTGCCACATAAGGGTCAGGGGTAGTTCAAGAGAACGCCCTGCCGCAAATATTGCCGAGTCTCAGGGACCCCCATAGATCGTGCCACCTCGACCTGGGTATAGGCTAGTTTAACCGAAGAGTGAATTTATCTCCACTCACCGTCTTCAGGATCGAGTCCTTTGTTCGAACTCCATTACGCCCATGGTTCTGGTGCGTAGATCCCGGAAAACTCCGAGTCTGCAAGTGTTCTGGGACTCATTAACGGAGCAACTTCTAGATTGCGTCTAAATCTGTTCGAAGCCAAGTGCTTCGGATCTCTAGATTCGTGGATCTGAATCCTTTTGGGTTCGAATGCCTCGAATCTCTAGGCTTGCTCAATACCCTTTCGAGTCTGGGTCCGAGTAAGTCTGTAAGTTCGTGGATCCGAACCCTTTTGAGGCTTAGAGCGATTCGGCCTGTTTGATGGCGATAAATTCGGGCCCACCAATCTGGGACTTGCGATAAATTCAGGCCCACCAACCTTGGACTATTGGGCCTAATTAATTTAGTGGGCTCAAATTAGCTTCTCTTACACCTCCCTCTCTACAAAACTTGGGTATCCCTTGGGGCATGCCCCAAGTTCCAATCCCATGCCTTATAAACCCATTCAAAACTTCCCACCAAATCAATGTGGGACAAGCCATTACACAAACCTTAAGAAATTTTCACCAAAACTCAATTTTCGTGGAGCACACTTTGGCTTCAATTTGCCATTCACTCGATAATGGTTTTGAGTAACCAAATATACCACGTGAATCACAATGCGGCATAGAACGCGTTACCACTTTGACTCGGAAAAATCGACGCACGGGTTCCATCTAAATATTAGACCAAAGTTAGGAAAATTTTTTGTTTTACCCAGGATTTTTCCAACCATTTCCAACAAATAATTGTTGTTTATTGTTTTTTTCTAAAAGAGCATGAAGATACCTGAAACAAAGTAATGCCTTTAAAAAATTATTGTTCTTCTATTTTTGACGTCTTTGATTTATTGATTCATTCCAAACTAGAGTTTATATGGGTTTATGTGTGGTATGTATGGTCATGCTACTACACCCCTTTTGAGATGTGTGCCAGATGTAAGTTATAACATTTGTGATGTTGATTACCACAAATGTCATAACTAGATATGAGTTATAAGTAAAGAAAAAAAAATATGATATGGTTATATGAAAGAATAGGGGCATTGCTCAAGTGTGAGCATGAAGGTTTGAGTCTTTTTTCAATCTTTACACATTCCAACATCCTCAATTACTAGGACCAACACTGGGTAATGTTCTTTAGACTCTTATGAAACAATGAATCTGAGTACCTCCCAAATTCATAAATTCAGTAGTTCCTTGAACAAAATTGAAAAGATTTGTATTCTGAAAGATAAATTCGAAACTATTCACTATCCAATCCAATTATGATATACTATGAACAGAGATTTATGAAACTAATGAGAGGACCATGTCATAGAGGTTTGTTTAAAAATAGAAGTAAAAAAAAAAAGAAAATAGAGCTGCAATGTATATATATAATTTAATTAGTAGTCAAAAACTAAGAAGGGAATAGGCATCTTTGCTAGGACACTAAAGTAGAGTTGAGGCTACTTGAAAACATCCCACATATATTGATTTGTTAGTGCAGAAATTTGGCCTAATTTTGAAAGGATTTACACTTTAACCTATATCCTAATTAATATGCTATATACTTATTAGAGTTATATAACCCCTCCTGTGTAATTGTAATTATTTCACATTTTTCCATCAGTTTGTGACATGGTGCTCTTTCGTATATACTATTTTCCCACCACCTCATTAACTCTTTTGCAAATAACAACTTCATTTTGGAATTTCTAAAGTTTTGGTATGTTCTTTTATGTCTTTTCATTTTTTTCCCTCTCCCTTAGTTTTGCGTTTTGGTTGAAATGCTTGATTCCTTATTTTTGGCTGGTAAAAGGAGAGCCCAATACCTCTTACATCTGAGCTTATATTTCGAGCGAACACTATAGCTATTGAAGTCTGGTCTGCTGGCTGGTTGTGTTGTTGCTGAACTACTTGTTGAACAGGTACATATTTTGTCCTACAAGGTCCTTTAAGCTTCAATATATCTAATCTAAATTATATGGTACGCCTGATGGCCAAATTGAAAAGCAAAATCTTTATGATAAAACTTGTACAGTTACACCCTCATTCATCACAGTTTTTGCATTAAAAAAAACTGACATTAAAAGTTTAAGGTCACAGTTAAAAACTGTGACCTTTAACCAATTTTGTAGTAGTGCTCATATATTAGTAGTATGTATTATGAATCTAAAGTATCAATTATAGAATAAATGTAAATAATAAATTCAAATAATAAGCATAGCATTAATATAAAAGAAGCTTTATTCATAGCCCAAGATTCACTTGTGAGCAGCGGTGGGTTGCAGCAAAAAGCAAGGGTCCTGAAGATCACACCCTTCAACTTCTCAGACCTCAAAAAGACCTTTATTGTATATATTAATTGTTTTATATATATTTTTTACATTAATTTTTTGTGAGATTTTTTTTTTTTTTTGTCTATAATAGTAATAGTCCCAAAAAAAAAAAAAATGATATCGTTTTTATTATCTATTTTTTGGGACAAAATAATTTTTGTCACCAATCACCAATTTTAGGCATGTTCAATTTTCAGGCTCCTTTTTGCAACAAAAAAGTTTCCTTACCAAATTAAAATTTTCGTTTGAATAAAAATCAACTGCTTTAGTCTATTTATTAGGGTAATGCGACCTAAGCAGCTAGGGTATCATTTTTTTGTGTGTTTATTATTAGATTTTTTTTAGTGTTTTTCTTTTTACATTGGAAACTTAGTCTCAGTATTTGTTAACTACATTATTATTAAACAAATCCATTCATGTGTGCATGTGGTGCACTTGATGAATGTACTGTAAGTTGTAACCTTGAAGATTTTTGTTTGTTTTGTTTTCTCCTAATCGAATATATCATAAGTTTATTTTTCTTGTCTTTCTTCACAAGGAATTCTGATTGAAGCTTGATGGATAAACCGGACTGGTCCTCCAAAGCGCCTGATCACTCCATTTATTTTCTTTTGGTATTCTGTTAATATCTATTTGTATGTAGTTATATATTTTCCATTATACGAATTCTTATATTCATTTTCATATGTTTATAGCCAAGACCAATCAATGGAGTTGACAAAAACCAAAATGAAAGTAGACGTGAAGGTAAGTGAAACATATTCTTGTTGTTTGTAGTATTCCTCTTGGGGTTTCATGGCATTCTAAGCCTTAGGTGCATGCACATAGATCATGACTTGTGCCATTGGTTAGTTCAGAACTTTGATCCTTCAACTCGTTCATTGAATGTCCACGGTCTGCGAATGCTTCTCACCGTAGATGTTCATAAGTTGATGAGATTACCTTCCAATGGTCTATTTATCAAGTCAACAGGGTCCGCAGATGAAATTACAAACCTATGTGACGAACTTGCGGTGAAGAATAAATTTGTTTCGTTCACATCACTAAAATCTTATTTGATTGAAACAAAAGATGCTATAACTGAATTTAAAAGGAAATTTGTCTTATACATCATAGGAGCCCTCTTATGCCCCACCATGAAGGCAGGCGTACACCAATCATTCATTGAGATGGTTAAGAATGTTGAGTCCATTAGTCAATTCAATTTGGCAAAGCACACACTTGATTTTCTCATCGACCGCATTGATATTGCCAACGTCAAAAAGCAGTCTGATGTGTGCGTCTATTTGTTTCTGTAACGAGTTGAATAAAATTGAATTTATACTTTAATCTCAGTTGGGGATTTATTTTAAATTATTAAACTCCATTCATTTTGGACCCAATTGATTGAATTGTGACCCATTAGTAACCATGTAATATTGTTGTGGTTTTATTGTTATTATTTAATTACCATAAAAGAGTTGTGAATATTTATGGTGTGTACCATTAAGCGAAATATATTTTGTGGTGAGAAAATATTATATTTACTTTTGTCATTAAAGATGTTGAAATGTATTTTTAATTGATATATATATATATAGGTGTATATATATAGTTAGATATTTGTTTAGGAAATATTTATAAAAGTAACCAAAAGGATTTTTTATTCAACTTTTGGGAGTTCTTGGGAGGTCTTGCCGTGAGAAGAAGAGAAAAAGTGTTCCAATGTTGGTTTTTCATGAGTTTGATCTAGTATAAGTCATTTTTTACCCCTAGTGCTTTGGATCAAAACGTAGAGAGCGGAAAAGGCGTCGTTTGGCTCCAAATATTTTTAATTTCTGTTGCTGAAGAATTTGAAAGCTTCTTGGCTTGAGGTAGGGATTTTTCCTACACTTCTTTATGTACTTTTACTTGATTATATGGAGCTTAGAGTTGTATATAATTTAATTAGAATTTTTGGAAAATTTGTGATTTATTTGCTTAAAAGGGAAATTTTGAGAAAAATAAAGAGTTGATGCCCAAATTGTGAAAGTGTAAACTTGGAATGTGTTTGTAAGGTTATGAAAGAGCTGTGTTTTAAATTTGAACAAAAACGGACTTTGACTTGATCGGTTTTGAAATTTTTACTAGTTTGTGACCAAAAAAGCCTTTTTAAAGAAAATAAAGGAATTATGTTTAACTTTTGTGCTTTTGATCATAATAGGATGTCATAGCTGAATAATTCTTGGAGAATGAGTTTGGAAAGAAAATGATATTTTTTTAGGCATTAACGGTATTATTTTGCTTAATGTATCTGTTGGAATAAACCGACACGGTTAGAAATGGACCTTGAGAGGTTACCAGACATGATTGTGATATGAAAACTAGTGTATTTGTTCATATTTGATGAGATGTGGAATAGATTGTATTTATCAAAATTTTTGGAATTTAATCGTTTAAACATCTGTTTAGAAATATCTGTTTTGGGCTATCGGTGGAGGATAGCTATGATTGTTATAGAAATGCATGAGACTTAGGTAAATTGAACCACATTCCTCATTTGTTGCATTGGACATTGGATTACATTCATTTCATTGGAAATGTATCTGTTTTTGAGAAATGTTTGGAAATGTATCTGTTTGCGAAAAGATGAATACTTGGTGAATCTGGATAGGGGGTGTAGAACCGCGCGGTTAGGTGTTGAGCCTTCCAATTAACTAGTAAAAATGACAGTGGTAGTGCATTAGGGCCTACTTGTAGACACTCACTTAGAGATTCACAGAGCATGTATTCATGTAACAGATATGGTTTAAAATGAAAATGGCTTTATATCTGTTGTTGCATCTCAGCATTGCATGCTTTATAAAAAGAGAGATAAACTGTTTTATCATGAGCATGGCATGAGCATACTCCTCTTTAGTCTTGTTATGGTCCATATGTTATGTAGTATATCTCTACTGGGCTGTGGCGCACCTTATAAGGGAAACCATTTCAGGTACTGGTGATATGCCTCCGCCAAGGCATTGACTTGGGAGGACTCGAAGCTAAGGCTTCATTTTTGTTTTATGGTTATTTGTTGAATGTAAGCCCAGGGCTGTATTTGCGTTGAGTTGAAACTCCATTTTGTGTAACCAAGAATGTTCTTGGATAAATTTGTAAGCCTGTAGGGTACTTATTATCTGTTTGGTTTCCATTTCATATTTGTTATAAAATGCATGCTTGGGATTGGAATTGGGGCATTGAGATGTGAACAACATGTATTTGGCATTTGGGCTATAATGGAAATGGATGTATGGAATAGTTAGCTATATATATGTGTTTGTCTATTAGGTAGGTTTTGTTGCATAAATAGATATACCCTGTCTAATTTTCAGGGCGTTACAGTTTCTCCTAATGGTACCTACCCTTGATGTGTAATTATTTCATCTATTAATTTTTATTGCATATTGTCCAACCCTTCCCAAACCAATACCCCATACTTTTCATTTATTACTAGTTAAAATATAAAAAAGATAAATCTTTATTTTATTTATGTTATGTTTTATTAATGTTCTCTAGAGCATCCTCATCAAGCTCTTCAAAATCATTTGTTAGCTAAAAATTTCAAAAAATCAACTCCATCAAACTTGCTTCCAGCTCGTCAAAATTTATGATGGCTACAATAACTCGTTACAACAAGCGAGGCATTGTTCATCGCTACTTGTGTGTTGTTGGACGTCTGCCCGGAAGTTCAGCCAATCAACCATTGAACGGCAATTTTTTTTTTTTTAAGAATTATTTGGCTAGTAACTTATCAATTTAATATACAAAAAAAAAAAAAATACCAACAAACACAATAAGAAAATAATATTTAATAAGAATAAGTTAGAATAAAGAGTTTGATGTAGTAGGTGCTAAAAAGTGACTAGCTAAAATAATGAAAAAAACTTTAATTTGACTAAAAATTTGAAGAGTTTGGTGTGGATGCTCTAACCACTCTTTATTTTACCTTTTGATACACAAACTGTTTAAAGAGTCTTTCAAGACTCTTCAAATGTAGTAAGCCTTGAAGAATTTTGTTAAAATAGCTATTATAATAGCTAACCCATTAAAGTGACTAAATCATCGCTACTTGTGTGTTGTTGGACGTCTGCCCGGAAGTTCGGCCAATCAACCATTGAACGGCAATTTTTTTTTTAAGAATTATTTGGCTAGTAACTTATCAATTTAATATACAAAAAATACAAAAAAAAAAAAAATACCAACAAACACAATAAGAAAATAATATTTAATAAGAATAAGTTAGAATAAAGAGTTTGATGTAGTAGGTGCTAAAAAGTGAATAGCTAAAATAATGAAAAAAACTTTAATTTGACTAAAAATTTGAAGAGTTTGGTGTAGATGCTCTAACCACTCTTTATTTTACCTTTTGATACACAAACTGTTTAAAGAGTCTTTCAAGACTCTTCAAATGTAGTAAGCCTTGAAGAATTTTGGTAAAATAGCTATTATAATAGCTAACCCATTAAAGTGACTAAAGTATGATAATGCTAATTATAATAGCTAACAAGTCTTGTTTAAAAAGTCCCTTAGAGGTTCTGATATATGTATATATACACACTAGCGTTATACCCGTGCTATGCACGGCCTTAAAACAAATAATTAAAAAAATATTTTTTAAATTAAATAGTAACAATTTTAAGATTTAAAGGTAAAATAGTTAAAATTATGTAAATTAAGTTGTTATTGAACTACACCCAAGTGATGTTTTAATTATGTCGTTATTAATATTATATTGGGCAAATTACACTGGTGGTCCCTATATTTTACCCATTGTGTAATTTTGGTCCCTACACTTTCAATTGACTTGATTTTAACCCTTGATTTTAAATTTTGCATTAATTTAGTCCAATTGATAATATCACTAGTGTATTTTAAGAAAAATTATCACTAAATTAGTTGAGGGTAACTTATTGATTTTGGTAAGTTTATAATTTTGCCCTTACAAATATGGCACATGATAGTTATGTACATATTTTTCATTAAAAAAAAATGCTAAGAGTTATAACCAATTGGATCAAATTTAAACAAAATTATAAATTCGAGGTTAAAATCGAATTAATTGAAATTACAGAAACTAAAATGACACATGGATCAAAGTACATGGACTACCATCATAATTTGCCCTCTTATATTTTAAGTATTATCTAACAATAATTATGTTAAAACCTGATTAATAGATATTAAAGCATCGAAAAATTTCACTTGTTAAAAATAAATATATTGTTTCACGTCAATTTCTTGTCATATAACAATTTGAAGCTTTTAATTTACAATTACATATTGAAACTCAAATTAGATAACGAAATGAAAGAAAATTGAGAGGAAGTAATACTGATCCATTTTCTTAAGTCACTCTCTCAAATCAAATTCATCTTATCCTACATCAAGCCCTAACTATAAATCATTTCGCACTCCCTTCTCACCACTTCCAATTGCCTTTTTTAGTATCTTTAGTTAGCCACCCTTTTTTCTAGTGTGTAACGCCCCCATTTTCATACCAAATAGTAATACAATAATTATGGCTCTTTAAACTAAAACTGATAATGAATCCTCATACTTGCATTACATGATGTAAATAGTCTTCATGCGATAATACAATTAATCCCACAACCGTTAATTAAACAACAAATACCCCTACGGGTTTACAAGTTCCAAGGCCTGGGCCTGGTTATACAAAACGGTTATTCAAACCCACACATACAAAGCCCTTGGCTTACAATCAGAGTCACAGCAAATGAGCACATTATGCTCTCAGCACACACTTCCACACCTTCACTTAGGCGGAATCAGCACATCTTTTCCTGCACAAAAATCCCATAGGGTGAGCATAAAACCCACTAGAGAATTCTTAACAAAATATATACATTTTATACAAGTCTCAAGAAATGGAATGCTTATGCCATACCATGCCTTTTTGAAAATAAAACGCACTTTCACCTTTTGAAAACCAATATGCTTAATGATGTCATGCCATTTCAACTGCTCAACATTTATCGCATTTTATTCGAGGGGCGGTAAATACAATTCTGGTAATCCCTAGGTTGGTATCTGCAAATAGACTATACAAGTACTACCAAATTGTCATTTTTACCAGTATCATCTGGAGGGCTCGACACCCATACTTTGTCATTTTTACCAGTATCAACTGGAAGGCTCGACACCTATAATTTGTCATTTTGACTAGTAACAACTGGAAGGCTCGACACCTATCATCTACACCACCTGTCAAGACTTACCACCGTATTTACCCCGAAACTATTTCATGAAAACTCATTTCTCAACATTCTTTTCTCAATGCAAGTTTTCAAATCAACTTTCAAAATTCAATGTAATCAATGAATTGATATGCCAATGCAACAATAATCAATACATTACAACAATTCTTCCATTT